GACCACCACCACCACCACCAGGATAAGCACCACATTAGGTCTCCGTACTGGGCACACAGAGGGGATTCCCACATGTGCTGAAGAGCGATAATAACTAACATAATGATTAACATGCATTGAACATTGATATCAAGGCATTTTACATAAATTAATCTATTTAACCTTCCAGCTTATCCACTCAAGGAATATTTATTAAGTACTTTCCACAAACCAGGCTCCATTCTAGGCACAGAAGACACACAAGTGAACTAAACAAAGTGCCTTCGATAAGGCAGGTTCCATTATTGGGGGTGAGATGGGACAATCAGTAATCAAATAGACATAGAATATGTGGCGTGGTTTTAAGTATAATGAAGAGAAAGAAGCTAGGATATCAATGCCTCTCTGGACTCCACTGCGAAGGTGAAACTGTCATAGCAGTCCAAAAGAAGTGAGAGAGCTGATCATTCAAGTAGCTTGAGAGAGGATTCCAGGCAGAGGTAACAGCAGGGAGGCACACAAGACTGGAATAACCCTATGAGGTAGGTACTATTATCTCATCCATTGTTCAGAAGATGAAACTGAGAGTTTAGGCAACTTGCTCAAGGTCACCCAACTAGCACATGGTTAGAACCAAGATTTGAAGCCTGGACATTGAGCCCCTTCATGAATTTCAGTTTAGGCTCACACTCTCAAGATGGATGTACCCCATTGCTTTTCTCTACCCTGAAACTTCTCCCTTCGCTCTTGTTTTGATCTGAACCACAGTGGTACTGGGCAGGTGAGAGAAAGTGTGTGCTCAAGAGAACGTTCCTCCTGGGCCTGCTTCCCTTGAATTCTCAAGCCTTCACACAATGCATCAATGTTTTAAATTTTATTTTATAAACTAGCATTAAGCGCCTCTTGGTATAAATCACTATATAAGGTGCTCTAGGGGAGTATAAATATGAGCAACATACGTCCCTGACTTCAAATGAACTTATAAACCAGTGGTAGCAGACAGCACAGGCTGAGACAATGAAAGGGGTAGACTGGGTACACAGCCAGCTCAACCCAAGGTTATAAATTGAACCTAGTGAAAGGCAGAAGAACCACTTTTCCCTTCCATCCCAGCTGGATTCAATGTCCTGTCCATGTCAGGGCAGGAGAAGAGCTTTGTTAATGGCACAGCAGGGCTGATATTCTACTCTGAATATTCAACCTAATGTCAAGAAGATTCCAGATGAACATTAACAGGAAAATTGGAGAAACTGACTTAGTAATGAAGGAACTTTGAAAAATCTACTTGTTTAGTGCCTAGAAGAGATTTTTGGGTGGGTCCACAGAATGTTGAACTAGCAAATTTTTATAACAAATTGTTTTTTTAAATGTAAGTTGCTTTTTCAGCCTCTTTGGAGTTTATGAGAATCTATATTATTTGGAACACAAACGTATTTTTGAAGACAGATCCTTTGCATAGGTTACAGGGGTAGAGCAGAGTCTATGGTATAGGAGGAAAGCTTAGGTCATTGTGGTTAAGACTATTGCACATATATGAGACTCATTTCCAAAACCAGGCTCTAAACTGCTTTACAAATTTTAGTAAAGGAAGTAGGTATGGAGTACAGTGGAGCTGAAATGTAAACTTGTGTTAATTTTTAAAATATACAAACATTAACTTGCAAACTAGTGAGTTTGCTTGTGATTTACAACATCTTAACAATGATCCATATGAGCAAAAAACACATATTTGTTTAAAAAAAAAAAATCCCAAGAGATGTTAATGGCAGGGATGTGGTATTAGAAGGTTCTAGTGCCACTTGTTTAAAGTGACCCTGACAAAATCGAATCCTGGTCTTGGACTCTGTCATCAGAAGTCCTTAGGTGCAGTCTGCGCCCTGCCCCTAATTGGCCATGTGCCATAGAGATGGCACTTGTAACCTCCCAGTACATATTTCTTTTAGCTAAAAAATAAGGATGATAGATTACACAATCACTCCCAGCCATAATTATCTAGGATCCTCTGTATCATTAACTATGACGCACATATCCCAGGTTAGAACTTTCCAGGGGAAGCCGAGGTTTGGAGTCTAGGCAGATCTGGAAGGTCAGCTGGTCAGAACATAGGAACACTCATAGGAAATTTTTGTTCATGGATAGATACACAGGAAAGCATTCCAAGACTGGAAGATCAGTCAAAAGGCAGAGAACAAGTTGAAAATACTTTAAGAAGAGGTCAATGCAGAATCCAAGCTCCACCAGAAGAGAAGATCCATTAGGGCAAAGATTTGGGGATATCTTTGTTATTTGGGTTAGTTTGTTTGCTTGCTTCCTGCCCGCCCCCCCACTCCGCCCCGCCACTATATCTTAGAAGAGTTTTTAGCATATAGAGGTGCTCAGCAAACATTTGTCAAATAAATAAATGAATCAAGGTTGTTAGTCCAGCAGGAACCACTGGAGACCCAAGTGGCCAGGTTTCACTAGGGTTAGGGGCTGAGCTCTGGCCAGTAGAGACGGAAGGGCTGGGTCAGAGTAAGACTAACTAGATACAGCTCCATGGACTCTTAAGCGGGTATTTCTACCTCCTACCTTAGCTTCTGAGAAATCAATCCTAGATAGCAGCATTATGTACCAGACACTTCACTTTATAGTCATGCCTGCCAGAGAGTGCTATTGCATGGGGAGCCAGGGAGAGCCTGACACTATGACAACAGCTCCTGACCTGGACTGGGAAGGCAGCATTGGAACAGGCACCGACTATGGGCTCTAGAAGCAGCAGAGGGACCTGGGTTGAATTTGGTTGAATGGATAGTGCAAGTGTTAGGCGACAGCAGTAACATCTCTTAGATGGCTTTATTCTAAGGTTTTGCCTGAGATAATATTGCATTTCTAGAGAGGACTAGAAATTGACTTACTTAATGACCCATCTTTATGTATTAAATTGGAGTATATATATTCTATATGTATTTTTAATGGGGAATGCTATTTGCTAAATTGGATAAGAAAGAACAATTTTAAGGCTTACTTTTCAACATCATTGCACTTGACCAACATTTTTGACACTTTTTATGAGAACCCCATTTCATTATGGTCCTCTTTATTATGTAAAACACACAATTGAATTAAACATTATTATTTCCCCTGCTGTCTTCTTTAACTTGGTTGGGTTACAATCAGCCTCTCCTTGAATCCACTTAGTCCATTCAGCAAAGTGCCTTGGGATTACTTTAGATTCTGTTTTTAGGGGTAATTAGAAGCTAAATCTCAGAACAAAGTCAGAAGAATATCCTAAGGAATCAATCATCTTGGCCACACCGATCCTGGATCCATTCAATCATTCACTTTCCCCTTTCCTACACCTCTTTTTCTAAAAGCTGCTCAAGAAATTCATCCCAACAGAAGTCAATTTTTTTCTCTGGCCCTTTACACTGCCTATTGAGACTTCTATGTACATGTTATAATTAGTAAAGTTTGAAAACATTTTTAAATTTATAACAGTTTTCTTTATTATATATTTATTCAGGTAAAGGACAGGGCCCAGCAATCTGTGTTTTAAACTAGCACCTCAGGAGGTTCTGATTCATCCACATTTATTGACTGCCTACTGTGTGCACTGTCTAGGAGGACAAAACAGCCAAAGACCCTTATCTTAATAAATTCACACTTTAGTGGGGGAAGTCTGAAGAAAGTGTTCTTAGGAAACATTGCCCTAAATTGGTGAGGCCCGCCCTCCCTGCAGCAACCATCTACCAGGTCCTGCCCATCCTGCCTCAGCCCTCTCCTCCTCAGCTACCCATAGACATTTCTGCAGCTTCACCTTTATCGCTCTTTCCTGAACCCTGCATCAGCTTCCACTAGTCTCTGGGCACCAGAGTAATCCTTGTAATCCCCAAGTCTGAACATGCCACTCCTCCTCTGCTTTAAACCCTTCAATGTCACTACATTGCCTTCAGGGTAAAACCCAGGTTCTAAATTCAGCCCTTGTTGACCTCTGCAGCATCATTACTTCTATACCCTGCATTCCAGCCAGACCCAGCCCCTCCTCCCAGTTCCCGATGGAACCTTTATACCTGTGTACCCACTCCTCAAAACATCCTTTTCTTCTATTTTTCTGATTAATACTCTAGTGTTCAAAATTCAGCCTGTATCCTTCCTCCTCAGGAGGTCCCCTCTGAGTGTCGCCCAGCCTCAACTGCTCCCTTTCTGCCCTCACCCTGCTGTTAGATCTCTGTGGAGGTCTCTGCTGTTGCTGGATGTGGATTATGTCAACCACTAACCAGACTGGTTGCCTCCTGTAGGCAGTAATCTCCTAGACCTAGCACAATACCTGGCCTCAGTAGGTATTAAAAAAATATGTGTTGAATGGAGTAAGTTTCCCAACATAAGTAACACACAATAACAACATTTATTTGCGTTTCATTTAAGTCAGCATTCATTCGTAGTCTTGCTGACATTCTTGTACCGTGGGAAGGTGGTAATCCCCCTGGGAAATGCCAGTGAGTGCGTTCACATTGCCATCATTTCCCAGCAATAGTTGATGAGGTGTTTTGGGTTCACTGTTAAGACTGCTTAATACTGCTTAATGTGACTAGCTAATACAGTAATTAAATTCATTCTGCAAACCCTAAGAAAATGCAAATCTTTTTAAAAGGTAGTATTTTAGCACATGAAGTGAATTTTTTTTTTTTTTTTTTTTTGTATTTGTTTTGTTTCGGCAGATGCTTGCTCAGAAATCTGGCAATATTATCAACATGTCTTCTGTGGCTTCCAGCATCAAAGGTGGGTCTGTCTCCCTCTGAGGACTGCGATGCTCATACATATACATCATTAAAAGCTCTGCGTTTGGGAACAGGCATAGCAGAGATCATAATTTCAAGTACTGAAATAATTTCAAAAGTGCTTTTTTCAAAATTGGTATTAAGTTCCTTAACCACAGATCTTTTGCTCTAGATGTGAGCCAGTGGCAAAATTAAATTAAAATGTGGGGGGTTTTTTGCCCTCCCTTTTATTCTTTCTAAGGGATATGGAAATGAACATCAAACTGGGAGAAAGAACCATTTAACATTTAATTAATTGAAAATAGTGTATTGAGCACCGGTATGTGCTCTGCCCCTAAAAGAATTCACAGTCCAAAACTAGGAGCAAGGCAGCAAACATCATCTTCTCCAGTGTGATGATATATAACAGAGGTTTGGACAAAGCACTGTCAAAATACAGGGAAATAACTGCCTGTGAGTTTGTGGAATGCTTCACAAAGACAGTTGATCTGAGCCATCAGCGAGAAGTCAAGTTGAAGGACAAGGGCAGCAGTGCAAAATGTGGATTATGTCACAATCTGACATAGTTGGATCTGTGAGTTTAAAATGAAATAGTTACTGCTGAGATAACATTTCTTCTCTTTGCAAGGATACACATATTCAACATACACAAGAGAGGAATGTAAAGAAGTGCCTAGGCCTCCTGTTTTACTGTTTGGTTTTGTTATTAATCTTTATTTTCTTTGGGAATCTGCCTAAGAGTTACGGCAACTGATGGTGAGAAACTAAGACTACCAATGTTAAATAAGTTTAGAATTTCAATTAAGTCTCAATTAAGTTGTGCCTATACTGATATTATTTCCTTAGATCCAGAAACTGACTCTATTAAAGGAAAAAAATCTGATATCAATCTTTTTAAAAGGGGAGGAATGTGGGAGAAAGCATGAAAATGGCTACTGGGAAAACTTATTTGTGCTACCTTTCTAAAGGAAAATACATTTTTTATTCCTTCAATTGTTGAACCTTTCTTCCACCCTCAGGAGTTGTGAACAGATGTGTGTACAGCACAACCAAGGCAGCTGTGATTGGCCTCACAAAATCTGTGGCTGCAGATTTCATCCAGCAGGGCATCAGGTGCAACTGTGTGTGCCCAGGTGAGTAAGGCACTGCAGGGTTATGAACTTGGCCCTCTGACACTGTGTTTGCCACCGTGAAAGATATCTATAAAAGTTTATTTGCCACATGTTATATTGTATTCTGGGAAAAAGTTCAGAGAAAGGGGGTGAGGGCTGGGCTTATTAAGATAACAGTACAGTTGTAAGTTGAGACGGAGATCCTAAGCCACTGGGAACGAGCCACAGATGCAAAAGGCTTAAATGTGTTGGACAATTCAGAAGCAAGTGGCTAAGAGACATAGTTGGCCAGGCTTGCTGTTGGGAAGCAGACCAGGGTTGACCTTTTCAGGGGAAAGATGTCAAGGGAAAGATGAAAATAGACCACACTCACAGGACAGCAGCGAAAAAGTAAGGGGAGTCTTCCAAAACACAAGGATCCACTAAAATCATTTCAACCACTGAGGTGGCCTATAAATAAAAAGGAGGCATTAATCTTCCTTTATGCTATAAAAAGGGGGCCAGCAAACCATGGCCTATGGGCCACATCTGGGTCACCACCTGTTTTGTAAGCAAAGTTTTACTGAAACACTTCCACACCCAATTTGCTTATGTTATTGCCTATGGCTGTTTTCATGCTACAAAGGCCAGGTTTAGTATAACAATTACAACAGATAAAATGACTCTCAAAGTTATAAATATTTTTTATCTGCCTCTTTACCAAGAAAGGTATGCCGATCCCTCACACAGAGGAAAGAAGAAAAGCAGAACTTTCCTTTTCTTAATAACCATGGGTGTGTCTCATTTTCACAATAACCATAGATGTGTTTATTAAATTGATACGTACTTTTACCCGGTTCTACCAATCTAAAAGGAACATAAGGTATCTAATAAGGATTATAATATTCTTTAAAAAGAAATTATTGCATATCCAGGATCAAGGTTTCCCTCAGTAGTGCACAATTGATATGGGGGATGGTGTGTGAAAGGGAAACATTTCAATATGACCTGGGAACCTTTCAAACCTGAAGGGCATGCCAGAATTTAGGGAAGGAGTTCATGGAGAGAATTGTGGTGTTTAGAAAGTCCCACAGGAGATTCTGATTGAATCTTCAGTTGAAACACATTGACTTAAAGAGGGAAAACTAAACATCCCCCAAGCTACAGAATTTCAGCGATTGAGATGTTCTGTTTTATTTTTCTTGGAACAGAAATGTAAACATAGGTAATGCTAAGAAAAAGAAGAATACATGAGAGATCATTTCACTGGGTTTTGATGTACATCCTGGTGATACTTGAGTCTAGCTATTCTTGGTGCCATTTACCCAGTGGAATAAATGGTAAAATGATTTGGAAAATGTGGTTGTTTCAGCCACTGGACTTATCAGAAGATTGGAAAATATGTTATCAAACTCTTTGGAACAAGGAACTAGCTGTGACTCAGTGAACCAATCACAGAAGAAAACTTGAGGAGGACTGAGTATGTCTGAGATGCTGCTGATGGTTGTGTAGTCACAAATCTCCAGCCAGACTTGTGTAGACCCTGGCATAGTATGTCTGTGCCATGGACACAGCTGAACCCAGTGACATTGGAATCCTCTAAAGGCATGGGCTTGCTCTGCAGTTCTTATTTAATAGCCATTAGTACCAGTCATATGTAAGACATGCTGTTCATTTACCTCAGAGGGAGAAAGCTGTTAAAGCTCTAAGGATTCTGAAGAGACTGTTAGTGAAAGCTTGAGGTGCACACTGTTGGTAAAACTGTGGACTTCAAGGAGGCTATTGAGGTAAGTGAGGAAAATATTATTGAAAATTAGATAAAAGAGGATCTTTGTCATACAGTTTCAGAAAGTACATCAACACTGTTGCCTGTAGTGTGAAGGCAGAAGATGTTACTAATGAACTGGGTGATCTAGCCAAGGTGATTTCTACCCAGAGTCTTGAAAGTGCTGGCCACTTATAGTAAAATGTGACAAGAGACAGATAACCAACCTACAGAGGGGGTTCCAAAACAGAGTCAGGCTTTCTGATTTTGAAGATTTCCTGCTTCATCAGAAAAAATAGCAAATGATGCTAAAATTAAGAAATGTTTTCTGAACAAAGATCAAATCTATGGTACTCTCAGGAACATGATCTAAGGGTGAAGTATGACTGTAAAACCATTTGTTACAACCTCAGAAAGATCACATTATTTGCCAGAGTACTCTTTAGTCTGAGGAAAGGGCCTTCTACAGAGAATGTACAGTTTATGTCAGTTAACAAAGAAGTCTGGGTAACTTGCTCTAGGAGACCATAAACTAAGTGGAATTTTAAAATGTTAGTGTTGTTCGTATTTTTCTTTTTTAAAGTAAAATAACTTTATATTAAATTATATTTTTGATTAAAAACTTGAAACTGTGGTTAAAAGTTGGAATTTTAAACAATGAAAATAGGCAAGGTGCTAAGAAAAATTTAGTGTCACCTGAATTGGCAAGGACTGTGGTAGCCATGGGATTGTCCCCAAAGATCCCACAGTGAACTTGACAGCAAAGAATGGTTTTGAGATCATTGAGGCAAACTGGCTCCTTAAGCTGGCAAAGTGCTTGTACAGTTTTGTCTACATCTCAGGCTTATTGTGAGGATTAGCTGAGATAATATATATAAAAGTATTTAAAATCCATAAAGCATCATATAAATGCAATGTGACTAAAATATATGTCCTTGAGAATGCTGGGTGATTCATCCAGTGTCCCTACATAGTGTCACAAAGAATCATAGTCTGTGTTTTTAAAATCATAGAAATGTTATTGAAGAAGTTATAAGCCTATTAAATAAGAGGCCTCAGGCAGGCAGATGTAAAGTTGTCATTTTAAGTCAAGGAGAAGAATCTCACTGATTGTTGTATCATATGGAAAGGAAGTTTAGTTGTCGATTTCTTTTTCAGTTTAAGTGAGTAACCAAGCTGAATATCCCCCTTTGATTTAGGAACGGTTGATACCCCATCTCTACAAGAAAGAATACAAGCCAGAGGAAATCCTGAAGAGGTATATCTAGCATTTAAAATGTGTTAAACCTTTGGATAATAAATACCCTCTTCCATCCCTATAGCAGACAAATTCATAGAGACAGAAAGTGAAATGGTAGTTGCCAGGGGCTTGGAAGGAGGGAAATGAGTAGTTAATGCTTAATGAGTAGAGAGGTTCCATTTTGTAAGATGAAAAGAGCTCTGCTTGGGAAGCTGAGGTTGGGGGATCGCTTGAGCCCAGGAGTTTGAGGTACAACAGTGAGGTATGATCACAACACTGCACTCCAGCCTGGGCAACAGAGAAGACTCTGTCTCTAAGAAAAAAAAATAATACTAAAAATAAGAGTTCTGGAGATGGACACTGGTGATGGTGGCACAACAGTGTGCATGTACATAACACTATTGAACTACTACACACTTAAAATGGTTAAGATAGTGAATTTTATATTCTGTATACTTTACCACAATTTTTGAAGATGAAAAAAAATAATGCCTTCATCCTTTAATATTAGCTTTCTGATCTGTCACAATATCTGTGGGTTTTAATATAACACAAACAATTAACTTTGGCGAAAGAATCACCATAACCCTAGCTGATTATTCATCAAGGCAGCAAGCCAGTGGATTCTCTTGCCTTTAACTCCTTGAAGAAGGTGCAGGTAAGCAGATATAGCTGCTCCCATCACTGATGTCTGGTATGGTCTCTGGTCACAGGCACGGAATGATTTCCTGAAGAGACAAAAGACGGGAAGATTTGCAACTGCAGAAGAAATAGCCATGCTCTGCGTGTATTTGGCTTCTGATGAAGTAAGCGCTATTCTTCCCAAGGAGTTCATTGTCCCCAATCACATTTGGCCACAATTTGCTCATCAAAATAACATCATTTTAGAGAGTTTATGGCATATATATGCTAAGATGCTACATTTATAAGATAGGGATAAGTTCTCATTTAATTTGCTCAAAGAAAAACCACTTTGATCTGAGCCACTAACTCTTCCTTATTCAGCTTTACATAAAATCTTGTAGCAAACAAAAAGGAGGACTAAAAATGTTAAAGTGCTCAATTTTCTGAGAGACAGTTCCTTTCAAAAATTATAACTGGGGAAACCCTGATTAAATTCAAGTCAAACAAATGAACCTCTAGGATTTTAAGAGCTTTAAGTGAAATGGGGAGAAGATTAAGCAGATTTGTGTTCAGTGGACACAGAATTGGCATGTGGTGTTTTAGTCTTACTTGTGACTTGTTTGGGAGAATTCCACTGGCTCTTTTTTCTCTATTAATTCTTACTTATGGCCGGGCATGGTGGCTCACGCCTGTAATCCCAGCACTTTGGGAGGTCGAGGCAGGCGGATCACCTGAGTTCCGGAGTTTGAGACCAGCCTGGCCAACATGGTGAAACCCCGTCTCTACTGAAAACAGAAAATAGCCGGGTGTGGTGGCAGCCTGCCAGCTACTCGGGAGGCTAAGGCAGGAGAATCGCTTGAACCAGGTAGGCGGAGACTGCAGTGAGCCGAGATTGTGCCACTGCACTCCAGCCTGGGCAACACAGCGAGACTCCATCTCAAAATAAATACATATTTTTAAAATTTTTACTTGTTATTGTGTATGGAAATTCCTAATTTAATCTCTTCCACTTTGCATCTGTTTAACAGTTTTTTCCTTAATGGCTATTGTATACTTTTAAATGGCTTAACATGAAAGCAAAAATGATGTTTATAAGGTATAAAACACAAGAACCTCCTCCTCCGTTTTATGTCTCTGAATACTACGTGAACAAGGAACTGTAATGTGTGAGAAGGGGGAAGGAAAGGGGACTAGGTGGAAGTGAGGAGGGAACAACTGATAACTCCTCTTCCCAGTAACTTGGTGCACACCAGATAGTTGGTGAATGTGACAAACATAGGGATTGAAATGTTTCCATAACAGTGCAGTTTCTTCTCAGAACTTCTCCCAATTATTAACAACAATTGTTAATAGCTGGGGAGATTAACAGACAAATGTTTAAAGGAGAAGCACATGAGCCTTTGTGATTTCTCTGAATCCATATCTTCAGAAGAGCTCATTTGATTTGGGTACTGCTGATAAGCTAAATTACCCTTAGTTAGCCAGAGCTTAGGTTACAAAATATTTGGAAGTGTTCTGGCTTGAAATGTGCTACAAAATACCTTTGGCTTTTTAGAGGTTTCCAGAGGAGTTCATATGCGTAACAGAGCTTGCCTTTTAAGAGAACTTGGGGGAGTTGGAGGTATTTCTTTGGTAAAGTGACTAATAACTCCCTAGTTCACCTACTGTATATGATCAGCTTTTATATATTGAACTCTTAAAATTTATCTATTCATTATGATGTCCTTACATCCTCTTCCATTGTTTCAGGCTTTAGATGAATTTAGACTGTTTGAGTTTTTATTATCCATTTTAAGTTAGAAGATTTTTAAACTTCTACCAAAAAGATCACTTCAGCCTTATTTAGAAAATGAAAAATTTATGGGAATAAATCAGTAATTATTTTTTAAATCCCTCAGTTTTATAGAGATTTGGATATCTGAAACTAACATAGAATATTTTTATAGCTTAATAGATTATAGTTATTATTATTATTCATGTAAATTTTAAAAACACATTTAGTGTGCTTCAGATCCTAGAATTATCCACTTATATTGATCAACTAAATACATGCTTTCTTTTTTTTTTAAACTGGTCATTAATATGACCATTTTATGACTGATACACTTATGTTCAAAAGTTTATTAGTGGCATAAAGCTTAGCTAGTTTTGAATAGTTCTGAGTTTCAAAATGAAAATGTGCTTTTCGTCTATTTCCTAATTTGGGGAATGGCTATACATCACCGTTCCTTAATTCGGGGATTCTGAGACCAAATACCTAACAGTGACAGGTGCTTAGACCCCAGCCAGAGGCCATTTAGTTCCAGATCACAAGACACTCAGCAGTTCTCAATCAACCAAACGTTAATTTGGATTTCCCTGAATTAAGTGTTTAAGTGAGGTTTCCTGTTAGGACAAGAGTAAATTGTTTAGTTATCCTAGTCATAGGAAAATTTGAAAATACAGCCTGTATCAAACCTGGTTAATTGTTCTGTCTCCTTGTGTTTATCACTGCAGTCTGCTTATGTAACTGGTAACCCTGTCATCATTGATGGAGGCTGGAGCTTGTGATTTTAGGATCTCCATGGTGGGAAGGAAGGCAGGCCCTTCCTATCCACAGTGAACCTGGTTATGAAGAAAACTCACCAATCATCTCTTTCCTGTTAATCACATGTTAATGAAAATCAGCCCTTTTTAATGACGTCACTGTTTGCAAGAGTCTGATTCTTTAGGTATATTAATCTCTTTGTAATCTCTTCTGAAATCATTGTAAAGAAATAAAAATATTGAACTCATAGCAAGAGAATAGTTTTTAAAATAAATCTCGATTTGTAAGCATCTGTCTTAGTCACTTTGGGCTGCTATAACAAATTACCATAGACTGAGTCTCATACACAACAAACATTTGTTTTTCAGTCCGGAGGTTAGGAAGTGCAAGATCAAGGTGCCAGCACATATGGTATCTGGTTAGGGCCCACTTCCTGGTTTGCAGATGGTCATCTTCTTTTTTTTTTTTTTTTGAGACAGAGTCTTGCTGTCTCCCAGGCTGGAGTGCAGTGGTGCGATCTTGGTTCACTGCAAGCTCCGCCTCCCGGGTTCACTCCATTCTCCCGCCTCAGCATAGGAGTAGCTGGGACTACAGGCGCCTGCCACCATGCCTGGCTAATTTTTCTGTATTTTCAGTAGAGACAGGGTTTCACTGTGTTAGCCAGGATGGTCTCGATCTCCTGACCTCGTGATCCTTCCGCCTCCCCACCTCCCAAAGTGCTGAGATTACAGGCGTGAGCCACCGCGTCAGGCCAGGTCATCTTCTCGCTATAGCCTCACAGAGCAACAGCAGAGAAAAAAAGCAAGCTCTTGTCTTTTTATAAGGATACTAATCCTGTTCATGAGGGTGCTACCCTTGTGACCTGATTACCTCCCAAAGGCCCTACCTCCTAATGTATCATATTGGGGGTTAGGATTTCAATACCTGACTTTCGGGTGATACAAATAGCCCATTGCAGCATATATAATTAAAATGTAAATATGAAGACAAAAGGAAGCTTATGGGTTTTTTTCTTGGGGGGGGGGGTGTTAAGGAAGATGATAGTAATTTCAGGACTAGGATGGTAGCTCATGCCTATAATTCCTGCAATTTAGGAGGCCGGGGCAGGAGGAGCACTTGCTGCCAGGAGTCCAAGACCAGCCTGGTTAACATAGGGAGGCTAAGGCAGGAGGATTGCTTGAGCCCAAGAATTTGAGGCTGCAGTGAGCTGTAATCATGCCACTGCACTCCAGGGTGACAGAGCAAGACCCTGTACCTGAATAATAATAATAATAATTTCCACTTTATTTTTCAATATTCAAATATTTTTATATAATTCTGCATTGTTCTGTATGTAGATCCTAATTTTAAAATTTTACGCCATCATAAATGAACAAAGGTAGGAAGGAGTTTGGCTTCAATAACTTACAGTAAAAGGAGTAAAAGAGTTCAGCCTCAAAACTATATTGTTGATCTGTTATGAAAAATAATCCAGTGTTTACACTTAATGGATGCCATCCTTTATTAATTAAATACTATTTTCTTAGTCTAAACAATCTTTATTAAAATAAGCAATGATAACTTGACATGGGCCTAATAAATATATAGTTAGCTAACTGACAATATTTTCAGTTAGAGGGATTTCTTTTTTAAATTAAGTACAGATTTCTTCACCAAACTCCAGGATAACAGACAAGAAGACATAAAATTTGGGCATAGTCTCTGGATAAATAAATGTAAATTTAAATATAAATCATATAACAGGAAACAAATGAAATTAAAGAAAATAAATTTTTCAAGAAAATAAGTAAATTTATGGATGATAATTCTGTAACATTGTCAGTGCAAAGTTTTTTCTTTTTATTTTAAGGGTTTTATGTTTGTTTTTTACTTGTTGCAACCTCAAAGGACCAAATGGTATGATACACACTGAGATAATAAATGTGCAGTTATTCTTAGCCTTTTTTCCTAGAACTTTAATATTAACAAGGAAAATTTTGAAATGGACAATGAAAAGGTAACACTTTATGTATGGGGAAGAATATCATTCAGTTGATGAAGGTACATTAAAAGTCACACAAAAGGACATTTTGACTAGCATTCCGAAAGAGTTCATTGATTATAAGATTATCTATGAGGTTTTGGACCAGGCATTACACTACTGAATTATGGATAACTTTGATTTGTGATCTAGACCAAGTCACCCAATCTATCTTGGATTTTAGTTTTCTGGTTTATGAAATTAAGGAGTTAAGCTAAATGACTTCGGTTTCTTTTCGTGTATCATAATCAAAATGCTGTAACTTCTCCAGTGAATTCACAGAACACTGACTCTTATGTCATGATATACTTTACGCTGTGAGCAGGTATACATGTATAATATATGTATAGATGTGAACAAATGAATTTTAAATAAATGCACAATAAATTCTACAAAATGGGCTCCAACATTAACAAATGACCTGAGTTAGTCTTTCTCAGAGCTGACCATAAACAATAAAACATTTTTATAAACACTATCAGCCATAAAAACGAAGTAAAATCTAGCCAAAAAATTCAATCTTCTTCAAAGTCATGTTAATCAAATCAGGTGATATATTAATGAAGTACATATGACTAAAAGGAAAAAATGTATGTCATTCCTGTGGTAAGAGGAAACTGAATGTCACTAGAAATTTTTGCAAGCTTTAGGAGAGGAAGAGTTCAGTTTAGGAAAACAATCATTTCAGATGATCTGAAGAAGGGTATTGGATGGAACCTATCCAATAGGTTCATCACAAAAGAGGACCTGAGAGACAAGAATGAATGGTTTCTGTCTGGTGGAGAAATTTGAGGATAATCTCCCTTGCTTGAAAAGCGGTGATTAAGATTGGCACTTGCTTACAGGAGTGAAAAACAGGTAAGGGGTGCGCGCGTCTTCACACACAGAAGAGGAAATGCAGAGAAAAGGAAGATACAAACATGAAATGAGAATTAAATGAAATAGAATCACTGCTGATAGAAGCGTTAAAAATCTAAAATACAGCAGGAAGGGCAGGTGTTAAGCGATAAAGGGGGGGGGGCAGAACAAGTCTTTTATCCCGCCCTTTAATTGGTCACTTTAAGAAAGAATCCTATCTTCCCACCGCAGCTGAGAAGACACTTCTAAGAAGTACAGCTAAAAGGTGGAGGACTGATAAACAACTTAGAGGTTGGTTTCGGGGAACGATAAAACAAGCAATGGGCTGCCCGGCCTGCGCCGCGGAGTCCCGAGGAGCCTGCGCTGGGCTCCTTGCGCGGGGTCTCGTCATCTCCGGGAAGACTCGGCGCCTGGGTCTGAGCTCTCTGGGTAAGCTTTCCGGGTAGCTTCCCCGGGAGCTCGCTGGTCCTGGCCGCAGAAGCTTGAGGACCCACCCAGTGAGGATAAGCAGCTGAAAGGCCGCGCGGTGCCGCTTGAGGCCCCGGGACGTGGGCCGGTAAGTGGTCGGCCTGGGAGTCGGCCTGGCACCACCTTTCCGGGGGAAGCCACGCGCCTCTGGCATCGCACGCGGCTCTGCACCCGCGCCGCCCGACCTGAAACCCGGCGGAAGGCACACGGGGCTGCCGCTGCGGGCCCCTGACCAGCCCACGCTTACTCCAGAGCCTGTACGGGAGCCGATGGGTCGGAGCTCCCGGCGCGGAGTCGCCCCGCGGGTATGTGCGAAAGGCGGGGCTGCCTACACGCGGTGCCGCGCCCTGAGGCCGGTTATCTGCAGTCGCCGCAGTCTCCCGGCTCTGCTTGGGACGATGCGCGAACCGGGAACCCCAGAGCGCGGTGGCTAGACCAGGCTCCGCTGCCTCCCCAGCGGCTCCTTTCTAATCGTTCAGACGGAGCCTGGTCGACTCCGCCGGAGACTGCCAGGTGAGAGGCCCCAGAGACACTAAGGGTAAAAATAAACCCTGCGTCCGCGGCGGGGACCCTGTAGGCCTGCTGGGCCGGAGACGCGAGCGAGGGCCCAGCCTTTTCTGTTTATACACCTGGTGACGCGCACGTGCCTGTTTACTGTTGTCAGGTGTTGGCGTGGGTTTTTCTTGCTTGCTTTTATTTCAGTTCTCAGATTAACCAGAGGATGTTGCCTTTGTGGACTGGGTTAGCATCCTCGAGGTGCTAAGAATCATCAAATGCTGTTGACTGAAGAATATAACCTTAAGACAGCAGTAGCTGCTGTAAGAGATAAAGTACAAAATCTCAGTAACTAAACATAGTTCAGGCTTATTTCTCGTTCATGTCAACTCCATTCACGTGTTCAGCTGTTGGCCTTCTACTCAATTATTCAGGAACCCAAACTCCTTTTATATTATGACTTTGCATCCCCTAAGACCTTGGAGTCCTTAGTTTCCATGGCCTTCTACTCAATTATTCAGGAACGAAAACTCCTTTTATATTATGGCTTTGCCATCCCCTAAGACCTTGGAGTCCTTAGTTTCCAGGCAACGGACAGAAAAAGAAAAGCTATTAGAGGGTTGCATGAGGATTGTTTCTTATGGGTGAGGACTGGAAATCACATACCATTTATGTCCACATCCCATTGACCAGACTTCAGTCACGTGCCACACTGACCTGCAGGGGAGACTGGAAATGTACTATGGACCCCGGCAGAAGAGTAAACGATTTTGGTAAATACGCATCAGTCTCTGACCCTCCCTTAAAGGGCAGACTGCATCTTGGTCATCTTTGTTACTCTTGTGCCTAGCACACCATAGAAACTTGTTACGGCTTTGGGAGGCCGAGGTGGGCATGTCACCCGAGGTCAGGCATTTGAGACCAGCCTAGCCACCATGGTGAAACCCCATCTCTACTAAAAATGTAAAAATTAGCTGAGCATTGTGGTGCATGCCCATAATCCCAGCTATTCCGGAGGCTGAGGCAGGAGAATCGCTTGAACCCAGAAGGCAGAGGTTGCAGTGAGCCAAGATTGTGCCACTGCACTCCAGCCTGGGTGACAGAGCAAGACTCTGTCACAAAAAAAAAAAAAAAAAAAAAAAAAAGAAAAGAAAAGGATATGAAACTTATTAAGAGATGGGGTTGTTATCTCATGTGTCTAAAATTGAAACTTAACCATAGTTCATTGATTGCTTAGGAATCATTTATCATCCTCTAACTAGATTGCAAGATCTGAATATAGGAACTATTTAAGACTGTTCACTTCTGAATCCTCAGCTCAAGGACTAGGACATAACAAGAGCTTAATAGCTCTTGTTTGTTGAATGAATGAATGAATCTTCAGAGAGGAGAACGAGGGAGACAGTTTGTCAATGTTGGAGTTAGGAAATACTGAGAAGGTGACATTTGAGTTAGATTTTGAATTTTTTCAAGTAGAAAAAGCAGAAATGAAACTCCCGGCAGCAGTAGTAGTGATATTTTATTGCTGTTGTTTTGTTTCATGAGAGGAAATTTGGAAAACAACTAAATGTTTATAAGTCCAAGTTTTCTTCATTCAGTATTCAAATCTTATAATTTAACTTCAGGGTAGAGGAGGGGAAATACATAATCTTACAATCCAAATAATTTCTGTTGACTAAAAGAATGGCAGTGAAAACCTTGGCACTAATTTTTAACGTTCTAAAATGTTATTTTCTGGACATTTTTGAGAAATTTCAATACAAAGGCAGTAGTCTGATCATTCATTGTCTGTGATGATTTTGCACTGTATCAAGAAGCTAGAGAGATAGAAGCTAAAGTTTATAAGACAGAGGTTCCTCATCACCGCGTTCATCAGGGCTTCTCAGGGATGGTTCTGCAACAAAATCACCTGTTATATTGGTTAGGATGCTTTTGGCTGCAAGTAACAGGATATTCAGCCAAAACTCCCTTCAAAAATACAGATTTACTGTTCTCATACATGAAGATGTTTGAAGGTAGGTGGGTCCAGGGTTTGTTCAGTAGCTCAATAATATCAGGGCTCTAGGTTGCTTTCTGTCTTCAGCTAATCTTGACTTTTCTTCATGGGTGAATGATGGCTGCTAGAATTGTCCCAAGAAACCCATCCACAATCCCAACTTCCCTTGCCTCTTCACCTGGTCATTTAAAGACAAAAAGAGGAGAGGATTTTCCTCCTCTCTCTCTGTCTTTATTAAGAAGGAAAATCTTATGTAATGTGCCCCAATAATCTTGCCTACAAATTCCAATGGCAAGAAATGAATCATGCTCAGTCCTTAGCCAATAAGTGGCAAAGAGGAATGGTGTTACAGAGATTGATTTACACCAATCGTGACTTATCCCTAGGGCTGGGGAAGGGACCTGCTGGTATACCTGCATACTTGGCATTTAGACAGGCAGTAAGTCATGTCTGTCCCACTTGGGGTAGATTCAGTCTCTGTAGATTCTGATTTTAGTGGACCTAGAAATAATATTTTAAACTTTTACTAAATCTATTTCACTTTGGTGAGGGGAGAGAATAGAAAGAATGAAAGCAAGTATTGGGTCCCTTCTTATGTAGGGGTAATTTCCTTTTATTCTTATCTCATTATGTAGTGTTTTGCTTCATGAGTCAATGGAATTACTAAATCAATTAACCAAATAAAATAGCAGTTGTTTTCCTGTGGTAACTTGGCTCCATGTATTTGATACACCTAAGTCTTTCAGATAAGGTAGTTCTCATCCAGGGAAATGTTGTTAGTCATTTTAGCAATTAATTGTCTAAGAAAATGTTAAGCCCTACTCTGAGCCTGATCTGAATTCCTCGTTGCTGGGTAGGGCTCCTTTTGGAAAATGAGCATTAGATCAGTGTTGTTCAGCAAATACAGAAACTGGAATGTTTCTGTATGTTCTATATAGAAATACTATATGAGACTAAGAACCTATACGTTCAACACACGAATGGATGAACACAAAGGTAGGAGATTATTGTTATTACGATCATTACAGAGTATTGAACAATCACAGTGATGCACTTTCAAAGGCATGAATATAACCCAGAGTACTCTGGCAATGTCTTAGTCCATTTTTGTTACTATAACAAAATACCACAAACTAAGTAATCGAAATTTATTTCTCACAGTTCTGGAGGCTGGGAAGTCCAAGATCCAAGTGCCTATTAGATTTGATGTCTGATACGGACTTGATCTCTGCTTGTAAGATGGTGCCTTCTTGCCATGTGTTCTTCACATGGAGGAAGAGACTAACGCTGTGTTATGCATTAGTCTGGTGGAAGGGAAAGAGCCAAAGGGACTAGGCTGCTCCCTTTGACCTCTTTTATAAGAGCACTAGTTCCATTCATGAGGGTTGAGTGCTGGTGACTTAATCACTTCCCCAAAGTACCTCCCTCTTAATACCATCACCTTGGCAGTTACATTCCAAAATCTGAATTTTGGAGGAACACAAGCATTCAAACCATAGCAAGCAATATATGTAAATATTCTGTAAGATTACCCCTTTAAATGTCAGCCTATCCAAATCACAGGTGGCAAATAGCAAGAATAAAAAGTCTTTATCCGTATTTTTTAGCGGTAACTGAAATGATGGCAGTAAGTCTATTTTACTTGACTGAGAGCCTATGGACATTTGCAAGTTGATAGTTTCTTTATTTCTTCTGGAATATTACAGAAAGTACTTGTAAACATTTAGATTAGTAAGATAATTTGAAAAAGAGAACATTTGACAAATATCTCTCTATGTGAAAACATATTTACAGAAATGGTTTCCAAAGTATGCTTCACTTGCCAGAAGGAACAGGGGTGAGTAGACAGGGCTCCTGCAGCACTGCCTTATTCATTCCATTTGTAGGATTTAAGGATTAGGTTTCATTTGATGGAAGATATTTGACATAAAGATATAAAGACCAGGGCCGGGTGCGGTGGCTTATGCCTGTAATCCCAGCAGATCATGAGGTCAGGAATTCGAGACCAGTCTGGCCAACATGGTGAAACCCCGTCTCTACTAAAAATAGAAAAATTAGCTGGGCATCGTGGCCAGCACCTGTAATTCCAGCTACTTGGGAGGCTGAGGCAGGAGAATAGCTTGAAACCAGAAGGCAGAGGTTGCAGTGAGCTGAGATCTCGCCACTGCACTCCAGCCTGGGCAAAACAGTGAAACTGTCTCAAAAAAAAAAAAAAAAACCATGAAAACCAAACTTGAAAATTTTGAAAACCACTGCTATTGGTGATTTTAGGCAGTTACTCATCTTTGAAAATCACAACTACAAAAAATGATTTTAAATTGTGGCATGTGAAATTAAGTTACCTCAAATCAAATCACCAGACTGTATCTATGAAAAATATTACCAAGAAATGTGATATCATTTTCCTTTCTCTAAAGCTTTGGGAATTGCGTAGATTATTTTTAAATGTATTTAAAATTTGGGCCGGGCAGGGTGGCTCACATCTCTAATCTCAGCACTTTAGGAGGCTAAGGTCAGGAGTTTGAGACCATTCTGGCCAACATAGTGAAACCCCATCTCTAACAAAAATATAAAATTAGCCAGGTATGGTGGCGCATGCCTCTAGTCCCAGCTACTTGGGAGGCCAAGGCAGGAGAATCACCTGAACCCAGGAGGCGGAGGTTGAAGTGAGCCAAGATCATGCCACTGCACTCCAGCCTGGGTGACAAAGCGAGAATCCATCTCAAAAAAAAAAAAAGTATTTAAAATTATATAAGAAAATCCTATTAAGTCTTAATAATGTAGAAAATAAAAATGAAAGTCCAGCCACTCCTCCTCCATTTCCCTTCCCAAAGGCAACGCTGTGAAAGGATTTTTTTTTCTGTTTATTCCATAACAGGTACATATATCAAACTGCTTGCATTCTTGATCTCTTAAGGACAGTTTTCTTTCAAGTGAGGAGAAAAGATTAAGAAAACTTTTTTTTTCTTTTTTATTTTTTATTCAGAGTCTTGCTCTGTCACCCAGGCTGGAGTGCAGTGGC